GCAAAACACTATTTTTTTTATTTATTAATGGAGGTGGTACTAACCATGCGTTGAAAAGTGAAGGAAGACATTTCAAATGTCTAGGTAGATCCTGAAATTTCGACGACCACTTTATTTTTTCTCGTGAAGGTAACCTTGGTAGGGATTATCTTGTCAAGCATTCCTAGCATTTTACCCCCGACTTCAGGTATTTTAGTTCCCAACTTCTTGGTTCGGCCCAGAGCTCGTACTCCAAGGAGAACTGAACATCCATTTTGGGGGATGATTAATCTACCTTGCCAATCTGATAGATGAGGCTCTTGAGGAAGAATTATCAACTCTAACATACTGTATTTGATGAGCCTTTACCGTTCTGGCCATTGATGGAGCTGGTCGTGGGGAGGTTCTTATGGCCGATTGGCTCCGCAAGGAAAAACACTTATTGCAGGGCAGCATTTGTGATTTGAAGCTTCAATTAACATGTACATGTAAGAGGTTAAAAGGGATTCTACTTCTATTAGCAATATATGTGTCTCTTTGAGTTCTTTAAAATTCTCGGGTTTCATAATTGATCTAGAACAGCTACTGCTGCAAGAAGTAGCAAAGAAGAACGAACATATGGCTCAAGTTCAAGCGTTACTATTTGCTACAAAAGCTTCTCTTTCTATAACCCAAGGAGATCTTTAGACTTTGGGCCTTGAAAAAATATTTTTCCCTCAAGATTTGGATAAAGAGACCAATGCATTCCTTTTATATATATATAATTTTTTTGAGAATTATTTATTGCAAGTGGATCATTATTATTTTCCTTTGCGTGTTTCGAGAGAGCAACTATGCTCAAATTAGATAGTAGAAGATGGGAAAATTATTTTTCTCACAGATTAACCATGCTCTTTTCAACCTATTTTGGTATGATCCTCCTTGATATGTCTAGTTATTTATACAAGTGTGACAAATTTCATTGAATAACATGTATATATGAATTTTATATTTGAATATTGTCGTTACCTAATTTATAAGGAAAAAAAAAGCTCGTTTTTTCCCAAATTATAAATAAAATAAATCAACTTTTATTCTATTAAAAAATCCATATGAATTAAAATGAGATTAAATGAAATTTGCGTTTAATTTTTTCTTCTATAATCTTTTCTATAGCTATTAATTAATTAAAATTGTTCTTCCTAGAAAACTTATTTTAAAGGAAACTCAAATAGTCTTAATCTAAATTATTATATTTTTATTTTCTTAATAAGTATTTTTTTCCCTTATATATTGGGACAAAGGGAGTAACTATATAACTAACTTTGAGTTAATGTTGAGCTAGGGTATGATAAAACATGCATAAAATACAAATTTGTTGATGATGGTCTTGAACCATTGATAACAAATCTCACAGAGGTTAAAAGAACAACTCACAAAGAATTAAAGAAAAATGATCAAAAGGCAATGTCTTATATACATTGTGTTAATGCGAAACTATTCGAGAATATTGGAGAAGAAACCACATCCAAAGGTGTATGGGATATGATAATGAAGTATTATGGTGGAGATACAAAGATAGAGAATTTTCAACTGCACTCATTGGGCAAGAAAAAAAATGAGATTCTATAAATGACGAGTGATGAATCAGTAGATAGTTATTTTTCAAGAGATTAGTAAAACTAACTAATTAGATGATGAATTCACAAGAGACAATATATGAAAAACATAGTATAGAAGAAATTGCACTCTCTAACTCCTCAACATTAAATGAACAAATCCACAAGATTATGATCACTCTCTCTTTAAAACATGTCCAAAATGTTGAAAAAGTTTACACAAATCAAGTTTGACACGTCAATCAGATGTTGGGGACTTAAGGTATTTTCAGTCTATAAGTCACCCAAACCAAGGATGTTGAAAAAACATTGTAGGGGTCTATCAAAGACTTTCGACATCATCAGAGTGGACATCTCATTCAATAAAGGAAGCTGAAACTTGGCCAGATTATTTTTTGAATATGATGAACTCACCAAGTTTAGTGACATTGAAAGAGAAACAAATAAACAAAATTCAAAGGTGAAACCACTCATACATATATGTTTAGATGGTGACACATATTTCGATTTGAAATTTTGTTCTTTAGAAGATATATGTTGTACCAGATGCTTAAGTCAATGTGTTCAACATCTTACATCATAATTGATAAATAATATAAAACTAGATAATGAATCATAAAGTAATAAAAGAACACGAAGAATTATTAACCTAATTCAGTGCAAACAACACCTACGTCTGGGGGGCTTCCAACCCAAGAAAGGAAATTCATTCTTTAATAGAATTAGTACAAAGTGTGTTAGAACAACCTCATGTTCAATGTTCATCTTCTTAATTTTACTCGTGTATTTCTCTTTAGGACTCCCCATAAATATGAGAAATTTTCTCACTTTCTCTCAATCATTAACCTTAGTGGTAACTAAAATAATCAAAATATTGAATGTTGAATTACAACTCAACTAACAAATCAAACTATATGCCTTTGGATATGAATAGATACACTAGAGTGGTGAATAAACAACAACACAAACAAAAGACTCAAAAATAGAAACTCTAACACAATGATCTTCAATACATGCACGCCTTTAAAACATTAGATTTGAGTCTCCTTAAATAGCAGTTCAACTTCTGGGCTTTTCTCCAATGAGAAATTGATTTGAAATCACGTCCAGATTCGCAAGAGATTAATTTTCTATTTGATTTTCAAAAACCTCCAAAAAGATTTGATTTGTTTGAATTCAAATTTAAATCTCTAATTGATTTGATTTGATCCTTATAATATATCAAACAAATCTAATTAATGCATTACTAAAAGATAGCAACAAATTTGGTTGAAACCTAATCAAAAATTACGCTCAAGACAAAAGCCATCAAGACTTGCTGACAAGGGTCACATGTTGCATACTTCTTGGAAGATCTTGTCCCACATGTGTCCTTTCTTCACCAAAATAGCATGTACACTCCATATTGTTTTGCATGATGCAGTCAATCTAAAAGGAACAACACGATTCATTTTAGTTTTATTCAACAATGTATTTATGTGGTTAGACATGTTTTGTATGTAATCTTGTCTTAACATTAATGATGTCAAATATATACGTTTTCAAAGATTTCAATATATGTTTCAGTTTTCAAAATATTTCTCCATTTTCTATTCTAAAACATACTTTGTTTCAGAAATTGGTTCTGTGTGAAAAGTGTTTGGTAGTTCCAGAAATGCATTTTCGGACTCACCCTAGTTTCACAAATTTCACAAAACAAAAATAGGGTGCATCCGGAAGTACATCTCTGAAATATTCCTTAGGACGGGAATGAGTTTAAAAGGTTCATATTGGCCTAAAACTTGTATAAATATGGGCCACTCATCTTATATTTTTTTAAGGAAATCACATTAAACCAGAATGAACATAAATTGGCATGTCGCATATGTCGATTTCAACAGCGCGAAGTCCTCAATTGAACTTAAGTTCACAGAGTACACCCCTTTTGTAGATCTGAAATTCATACTGGAGAATCTCCTACAATACTCAGACAATTAAGGAATTGTGAAACTCGAATACCATTCACCCTTAATTGACAACGAAGGAAAGATTCAATTCAGCAACTTTGAGCTAAATACGGATGCAAATCTAATGGTTATATGAAATACATTTAACCGTTTTGAAACAAAATGTCTAATTGAGTTGGATACAATGAATACAAGTTTGATCGAAGATATTGAAACGTTCATCTTTATGTTGAAATGTATTGTTCGATTTATGTTAACGATTATTTATGTAATATTTTGTTTTTTATGTATGTCATAACAATTATCAACGTTAATGTATCTTCGCTTTTGCATCTGTTTTTAGTTCATTAGGTTCCAGAAATGCACTTTTGTAAAACATACGAAGGTGCATTTCTGGATTAAGTTTAGTCATAGAATTGGAGCGTGGGTAAAAAACTACTTTTATGTTAACGATTATTTATGTAATATTTTGTTTTTTATGTATGTCATAACAATTATGAACGTTAATGTATCTTCGCTTTTGCATCTGTTTTTAGTTCATTAGGTTCCAGAAATGCACTTTTGTAAAACATACGAAGGTGCATTTCTGGATTAAGTTTAATCATAGAATTGGAGCGTGGATAAAAAACTACTTAATTGTAGGTGATTGAAATGCATTTGAAAATACATTTTTAAATTCTATAAATAATTTTAGTTTTTCATTAAGAAATAGAAGCAATACTTATGGTGCCTTAAGCAATTCCCTAAAACCATAATACATTTTCAAATTCTATAAATAGTTTTAGTTTTTTATTAAGAAAGAGAAGCAATACTTATGGTGCCTTAAACAATTCCCTAAAACCATATAGAGGCGACACTCTTCAAAATCTATCGTCCCTATCTCCACTTGTGTTTGAATTCTCTCTCTACAAACCTCAACTTTATCCTCCTAAGGATGTCATTAAAGTCCCCTATACATAATCATCTATTCCGAACCTAATCAGATAGATGTTGAATCAAATTTTAGATATTTCTTTCTTTTTTTTAAAATCTTAGTATCCAAATTTACAACCGATTAATTTAAAAAAAATCAATTTTATTATTTACTTGCAATAATCAATTTCACTATCTCCATGCAATGATCCGTTCGGAGATACTTCTCTTATTTGGTTTCCTAACTTATTTCGTTCTAGACCATTTTCTTGTACCTTTGATCTATTACCAAAAAACAGATAACCATACACACAAAAAACTGTTTGGATATAGTTTATATAGTATTTATACAATGATTTGAGATAACCAAGTGGTTATCTAACCTATACAAGACCATATATATATAGGTATAAAATGTGACTCCACTTATATAGAAGAACTATAATAAACAAAAGTGCTACAAGTTTGTAAAAAACTATAATGGCAAGTGTTTTCCTAAACATGTTATAAACAGGTAGATATACAGTTTAATGAAGATTGACTGAGGAAAAGTAATAAAGCTTGATCAGTGACTTTGAAGCCAATCCTGGATCGCGGAGCGAAGAGCGCGGTTGGGGACAAGACTCTGATGTGCAAGGGTGCTGTTTGTCATCGGTGAAGTGTCGTGACCACTGTCGAGCCATCCTCGGATAGCCTCGGCTTCGTAGGTAAAACCGTCTGCAGCTACGTGTGGATCTCGCATGACTTCCTGCATAAGTATTGAAGATCATGATCATAGGAAATTTTGTTAGATGATTATATCCTCAAGTGTGTGTCCGAAACAGACATCTAACACTTGTAATTGCGTTTAATTTATTCCGGTGTAGACAACATGTCAGTGTCGGTGTTGTGTGTATAAGCTTATACAAACAAATCATAGTATTTCACATGAGCTGAAATTGGAAAACAAACCTGGAAGATTGGACAAATAAAGTATGAAGGAGGTTGGTGAGGTCCTTCAGAACTTAGGCCAAAAGAGTTTGTACCTCCAGAAGAAGCTCTCATTGCATCGAGTATCCTCCATACATCTGAATGAAGGTCCGGCCGGCTCTTACGACTCATCTCACAGCACCGCAAAGCCAACCGAGCCAACTGCTCGGCCTGGACAAATGGCCAATCTCCGGCCAAAGGATCCAATAAAGATGTTAACTTTCCTGTATCGAGAGCATATTTCACTTCCTTAGTTATTCCTAAGGCCGGTCTTCCAGTCAACAATCTCAATAATATGATTCCAAATGAATAAACATCGGATTTCGGAGTGAGTTCGCCAGACGCAAGGAATTCAGGATCCATGTATACAAAAGTTCCCTTTGGATCGGTTCTCCAAAACAGCGTATTATTATTAGTAGAATTCTCGAGATTTGATAATATGCGACAGATTCCAAAGTCACTAAGCTTACTGACAAGGTTTGCATCTAGGATGATATTGGAGGGTTTCAAGTCACCGTGCACTATGCTGTGAGGTTTACTCGAATGAAGAAAGATGAGAGCGGAGCAGAGTTCAGCAGCAAGGCGAATCCGCGTTTGCCATGATAATGGATGTGTGTTATCCTTGCATGCAAGACGGTCTTCAAGACTTCCGTTTGGTAAATACTCGTAGACAAGAGACCAGGATTCCGGGCAGGCTCCTATAAGAGTGATCAGATTGGGGTGCCTTAGCTTACTCAATACATCCACCTGATACCAAAAACCACAAAAATGGTGTCAAAATCATTATTCGTTTTCGTACTAATAACTTGTATCATCATTATCCTTTCCCGAAAACCGGAGGGTTAAGACAACAAAAAATTTGCTACAGGCAAAAATTATTATCAATGATCAAGCCATTCTTACCTCCTGCTGAAACTCCAAGGGTCCTTGCATGCTGTTAGCGTGCAAAATTTTTATGGCGACTTCGGTGTGACGGAGGACACCTTTATATATATTTCCATATCCACCTTCTCCGATCTTTTGGGATGGATCAAAATTACTTGTTGCTTCTTCGATTTCTGAAAAGGAGAATTCCGAGAACAATTGAGATGCATGACTGCTCGAGCCCTCTCCTTGTTTTTTCCTAAGACCTTCAGCCTCTCTCAATGCATTATCACGCTGTATCTGCAATTCATCCCGTTCGTTCTTGTAGCTTTGTAACAGCTCAACAGCAGATATAATCTTCTTCTCCAACTCCTGTATCATAACTTCAGACGACGCAAGTTGACTCTCTAGTGATGACTTCAAATCCACAGCAAGTTGAAGTTCTTCCTTAACTTTGTCTCTCTGGCTCGTCATTCTCTCGAGTTCTTCTTTTTCCTTTTTCAATTCTTCCTCCGCCATTTTTCTCAGATTCAACTCCTCTATATATAAGCTTTCAGATGTTTTAGCCTGTTGATTGAATGGTTCAAACATCGAAAAAGGATTAGAGCACGCATGAAGTAGCTATATCAACTCGTGACTACCTAACAAACTCTTAACTACTCTAATTATTCAATATTCTATATCGTAACAGACAAACTCAACAACAGAACATTTACCCTGCGTATAGCTTCAATGGCATCTTTTTCAGCTTTTCCGCGCCTAAAAGTTTCTTGATATGCATGTCGAGTAGCGTTATTAGCCTCAGACATAGCCTGTTCAAGTTGGTCATAGAGCGTATCGTTTACTCCACCATCCTGCTAGTGTTTAATCACATTAATAAAAGCATCAGTATAATGTTTCGGTGTTAATATTTTATCAATCGAAATCTAGAAAGTAAAAGTGTCGCATCATTTGCTACAGTCAACACGCAGAGTATGAATATGCTTCATAGCAGGTACAAACAATACTGAGAGAAAAAAGAATATTTTTGTACCAGTACACTTGGTGGCGATAAACGATGAAGATCCTCCTTTATAACCATGCGACTAAAAGTCAAGTCTAATGCATTCTCACTGCTCTCAGCAACTGAATTTGGGGTCAGTGTTGGTTCAACTGCACTATCAGAGCATGTCGACAAACCTGAAGGACTCATCCTTGACAACCTATCGGACTCATCAGAACTTACATATGTGCCTCGCCTGTTAGATGGAGTTGAAAACCCTAGAGTGTCATTTGGAGAAGAATCAGTCGTAATGCTCGCTCTCTGTCCATCATTGGCAGATCTAACCCTGCGAAATAACTCTTGAATAGAACCAAATGAATCTGTCATAGGAATTTGTCCCAGTGTAACTGATTGAGATCTCAAAGATCTCAAAGAGTTTGGCACTTGCTGTACCAAAGGAGATGCAACCTCTAAGCTTCGTTCATTTAAACTGCGATCCCTGCGTTGATAAAGTATTAACATCAGTAATTCAGCACGAAAAATAACAAAAACCGAAAGCAGTGAAATTGAAAACTTTAGGCAAAGACAATTTATATTTAAGGCGCTGACACGGCCTGTAATAACTGTTTAAAATGAAATAATTGAATGTAATCACATGTGTCACTATGTGTTGCATGTTTGACACCGACACATGCCGGACACGGGCCACACTTTCAATTTATGAAATATATCATAAAAATCGATTGTTATATCAACAAAAAGGTTTTTTAAAATTAAGAAACATTTGGCTTTGTATTCCTCAGTAACTTTTCTTAGAATGGAAAAATCATATAGTAATAATATAGGTGAAAACCACCACATCCACAGTACAAAAACAAGGTATCACTTAGCACAAGAAGTGTCAAAAGGACTACCAAGAAAGCAAAAAAAATACAAAAGACAAACAAGAAACAACAAAAACATCGAGTCAGACCAGAGACAGACAACAGTCCAAGCAGCTAAAAACCCAACCCCATAGGATTCTGGCTAGAGCTCACTCCGCCAAAACCACCATCAACAGATCAGAAACCACCAATAGATCAACAAAACCATAAGGTGACCTAAAACCCTTGTATATCACAAATCGTCGATATTTTATGAGGCTGCATACCTTGTGTGTATAAGGTGACCTTTGCAGATAAACTGTATATGGCAAGAAGCTGGAGCTTGTTCACATACATGTATGGCTTTCTTAGATTTGAGGTCCATCATTCTCCTGTTATGTCATGTAAGCTTGTTGAAAAATCATAATGTTGACTTCACTAAAACAAATATAAAGATTGGAAAATTCTTAATTCAAATAGTTTATCATCACATCTTATGAAACAAAGCATAATTCCGATAAAATTACAAGTGAGCGTGGATAGAGAAAGGACTGTGATTGTTTCGTCCAACCAACCAAACACCCTGAGGGGCAATAAAAATAAAGATGAAATATGTAGCTTCATCACTAAGAAAGTAATTGAACTAGTTATCGAAAACGGCGCAAACTTGAACATATTTTATCTGGTTTCTTACCTAACATATTTCCTATCAGATGCTGCTCCCATAATAAGCTTCCGAATTCCATGTTGGGAGATAAGTTCTATAATTCCTCTTTCAATGTTATCCATTTCAATATGCAGTTTTTCTGCTCGCACCTGTTTCAGAAAATTATTAAAATCACTTATCAAAGTTCATAAATCATAAGCATATAATAGCATCACAATAACAATTACCCCCATCCGATGACAGATTCGAAGATATTCATCCAGAGTCTTATGCATGTTTTGCCTTTCAATTTCCCGGTATGCTCGAACTTCTTGCTCTTTCAGTGAACTTGCAGGAAATTTAGCACCCACTATAAACAAAAACAAATATGCTACAAACTTCAAAATCACTTGGTAATTTAAAAAACATTGATCATCAAGAACATATACACAACAAATTGAGACCAAGTAATTTCAAAAGTTTGCTACAAACTTACTCAAAGGGATCATTGTTGCAGGGACATGAACAAAGAGGAGACAGATCCTCTTTCCACCAGAGTTCTGAATTGCCCATATCAGATTCACTTTACTCTCTTTTACATCCTTTGACACAGCAACATAGATTGCTTCATCAACCACAGCTGGATTAGGTTCCTCTTCAATTTCTCCCCCAACTTCACGAACCGAACTCATAGAACCTGTTCTTTGTATTGTAGCTGGCACAGGAGTTGTTACCACAGCCATGATAAGAGAGATTCAAAATGATTGAATCATACTAATAAAACAAGAACCAAAAGAATTCAACTTTCTCTCTCCTTTTTCCAAAAAGACTGAACTTTCACTCTCAACAATTGGTTGAAATGATTGTAATTATCAATTATCAATATGCCACAAAAACATACCCTTTACTATAAACCCAGAAACACAAATCCTCTCTCCTTTAGACAAAAAAAAAAATCAACTTTTTCTCTCAATTACAAACAATACACTTTTTACCATCAACCCAAGAAGTTGATCATCAAAATATCACAAACCCACCAACAATTTTTCTAAGGAACAAAGAAAACCCACCAAAGATTGAATCTTTGAAAATCTATAAATTCCAGAAACCCCCAATAGCAAAAAATAAGAGAAAAATATTAACTTTATCGTTGACCCTCACTCACTTAACCAAAACAAAATCGTTGAGAGAGTGATGGGAAAACCATGAAAAAGGAGAAGAACCCTTTAGTACATTTTTCCTATGAATTGAAAAGAAGAAACTTGTCTTAACCTTAAATCAATGTAGTGTAGAAAAAGAAACAACCCATATATAAAGATGGTGTGTTGCAGTAAAAGAGAGAGAAATTCTAAAATATCAAATGAACTCATTAATTACTATTAAGACACACAACTAATGAATGTATTTGTCTAAAAATTAAAATGATAATCCTAACGAGTGTTTAAAAATATCAAATAAAAAATTGTTTTTATAAAAATTAATTATTTTAATTTTCAATGTTTTGATTATATGTGTATTCTTAAATCTTTTTAACCATTTTAAAGCATTTAAAAAATGTCTTTGAGACACTCGTTAATATTTTTTAAATTAAAATTAAATGTGTTATATTTTTTATATTTAATCATTTTATGCATGAGTCTTTGAACACTTTTTAAAAGATTTATTACATCTGATGTTAGAAACTCAAACTTGTCAAAGACAAATGATAAAGAAGCATTTTGGTTGTCGGAACACGATTTCTCATGTTTAACTACTTTACTTGAAGTGACTTTGAGGACTACTTGACTCGCAGTAAAACCTTCATTCTTACGACCCACCAGTAGAAAAATATCAGTTAAGTATACACAAGCATGTTTCTCTTCTACTCACTCGTATATCATAACATTTGTTGGCATAAGTGTCGAATCTTTTCCTATGAGTTAGCCAAAAAACTCACAAACACATATTTCTTCATGGATACTCCATGTCGTCGAAATATATCAAATAAGACACTCCTAACAAAGTCATGTCAGTAGTTCAAGTTTGGAAGCTCCCTACAATGGACTATGTGTTCCCCAACTATATATAAACACACTTTATTGCAAATAAGGTAAACTTCATCAATAGGAAATAAGGAATCATAAGGATATTTTAGAATAGTATGATTATCTACCAGATACATATATTGGTTTAGTCTATCAATAGAAATAACAAAAGAGAAAACTATGAGCATGTGTTGTTTGCAAACAACCAAAAACTGATTTCTGTCCAATGATCATGTCAAACCTTTTATTCATGACATGAATACTTTTGTTAAAAAGGGACACTCTCCAAAACATGTTAAGGTCAAAATCTAAAATCAAACACTAAGACCATCCAAAACTCTGTTAAAATCAAAGCACATACCATATATCTCAATGTCTTTCAATATATGATCTATTAACATCCAAGTTTGTTAAGAAATATGGTTAACCCCATTTATAAACACATGTTCAGGCCATATATTATTCAATGTGGGACTCTTAACACACCCATCACACTCAAGACTAGACAACTGGAGCGTAGAAATAAATGGTAGGTGGCCCGATAGCAAAAACCATAGTAGGTAGCCCACCGAATCTTAAACGAGGCTCTTGATACCATGTTAAGAAATGTGGTTGGGCCTAACTCAGCCGTACAAAACCGCTTAATAGAGTAAGAATTACCCCCACTTATAAACACATATTCAAACCATATATTATCAGATGTGAGACTCTTAACACCCATCATTTATTTCTACATTTCAGTTGTCTAGTCCTGAGTATGAGGGGGTGTTAAGAGTCTCACATCGGATAATATATGGTTTGAACATGGGTTTATAAGTGGGCAATGGCGGAACCAGATTTTTTTTGGTGGACCACTAAAATAAACTATAATATTTAAATTAAATATAAAAATTATATTGCATATAAAGATTTAAGTCGTAATAATCGAAATGTTGATTACTAGAAAAATGAATTACATACCTTAAAATAATACTCTACGTGTATTGAGTGACTTGAAATCATCAATAATAGAGTCTGAACTAATACATGCACTAATTTCTCTTTCAATGTAAATTGTCACGCTATCTGCTAAAAACTGACCTTTCATCTTGTTTCGCAACTTAGTCTTGATCATTTTCGTTGTCGACAAATATCTCTCAGTTGTGGCAGTAGAAACTGGAAGAGTCAAGACAGAGTAGTCTATTAATCAAGAAGTAAAATTTAGTCATGTTAGTTGCAACCAAACATGAGCATAATTTTTGAATAGTTGATAAATTCTTCAAATTTGTTGATTGACAGGCATCAACAATAAATTGTCGAAGCTGAAATTATAAAGTAATCTTCTCTTACTCATTGAAATCCATTTATAATAATTTTCAACTAGAGTTCAAATAGTATCAATGTTAAAAGATTTATAACTACCCTTAGGATTCAAAGCACAACTTAGAGTTAACAAATTCATTGCTTGCTCACTAAATCTACTATTCAATTCTTGTAACTGTTGATCAATAATAGCAAAAAATATTTCAACTTTAAAGTAATGTTATAGTGTGACATGATTTTCTACAAAATGATAGCGTCCATATCTTGTTGTTGAATGAGTATCATCAAGATTAGGAATCTCAATATCATGTCTCACACAATAAGACGTCACATTAGCATACAACTTATACCAACCATTTTCTCTCAACTCTTGAATAAGAGTTTTTGTTGCAAGAACTAAAATCATAGCATTAACCACATCCTAGGATTGTTGTTGTAAAGCTTGATAAAGCGCATTTGTTATCCCCATAATTTCTTTCATTAAATGCAAGATCAATATAAAATCAAATTCCTTCAAGTAACTATAACCACTATCACCATCACCACGTGTATTATAATTTGTTACTTCCTTTGGTAATATTTTTAAAACACGACAAGTTGCTTCATACATATTCATCAAGCTACAATTAGAATTGAAATGTGATCCCCAACGAGTAGTCTCATCTTGTTTCAAATTATTAATTTGATTTTCACATTTATCAGCAATGATTTCATCAATCTCCAACAAATGTTCAATTTCTTTTAACTAGGATTCTTGTAACTCATCATGTGGCTTTGGTTAAGAATAAAGAACATTGAACACATAAGTTAGTTTATCAAAGAATTTATTTCTTCATCTTTATTTCTTCTGCTTTAGAAGAATATAATTTAGTCCCAACATAATTTATTTGAAAACAATACTGAAATTCAATCATAATAAAAATTGTTGTTATAAGTTTTTTTGACATACTTATTGTTATAAGTTATAACAATTAAAAAAACAAGTTTTAATTTGTTGTTATAACAAGGGTGGTTGTGTGTTCATCTGGATTTCCGACGAACAATCTCTAGCCTTTTATTAAAGTTTACTTGCAAGATCGGCTATAGAAATCCTAGACTATGTGTTAAGCATGTAATGAGTGCTTTAGTGTTTGGGTTTGGAATGGTAGATAAAGAGATTACGTTCATACAACTGAGATAACTCAATGAAGAAAATATGACAAAGTTGTAAAGGGAAATGAATAGAAAACAAAGACTTATGAAATAAATTGCTTAAGTGTAAATTGGACGCATGCATACATTTGCACAGAATTGACTCGTTTCTATTAGACGTTGATACTTTGAGTGCGTTCCTTTCAATATTACAAAATGCAACCACTAAAAGCTGAAACTAAACTCTACTTAAATAGACATAGAAAATAACTAGTACTTCACTGTCGACTCTCCATATCCTACCACGCGTCCCCCCATGCACGCCTATTTCTTGTGTAACTTCCCACGTTCTCGTCAGTTACAAACTTTCTCATTTGGCTTGTCTTCGAACTTGATTAGAATGACTATTTATCAAGACTTCTTCGATATCCTTCTGACGGGTGGTTCGTCGAGATCTCTTCGACCTTGGTCTGCAGGATCTCTCGTCGAACTTACATCGACCTCTTCGTTTAGGATGTCAAACTTCCCTTCGATTTACTTCTCTTTCTTGGTTAAAATTTCCAGCTAACAAATTGCCCCCTTAAAGGCCAGCTTCGACCGAGATTCTCTTCGACTGAGAACTGGCGTTTTAACTCTTGCCAAATTTTGACTTTATGTTCACATTTTGCTGATGTCACACATAATGATGACAACTTTATGCGCCACGATTTCCAAAAGACACTTCATCGCTCTTCATGCTTTTGGCTACTCCTCAGGTCGTGGGTTTTCAACTACCCCCACTAAATTTTCCACTATAGTGGAACGGAACAATCATGAAGCTGTCGTTGACTGCCACTTAGCAATCATGACTTTTTAATCCTTAGTGCCTATAAATATGTCTTCCGCCACTTTCATTTCTCTTCTTCTTCTTCGTTCGCGTTTTCTGCAAATTCACCATTTCCTTTTCTCTCAAGTCTTCTGCAACTTCAGAAACTCACTATCTTTTTAGCTTTTTTCCTCATTCGTCACATTACCATGGCTTTCGTCACTCATATTACTGGTAACAACCCTCTTGCCTTTGCCCTTACTTAAGAATGGGTTTTATAAATTATCCCCAACCATCGTCAACTGATAAGCCCATGGTGGAAAACTGGCAACAACAAACGGTGATCCCTTTCGTGGTGGCTGACAAACTCTTGGCCTTCCATGGGCTATATCCAGATGCAAAACACACCCCAAAAAGGTACAAGAGTGTTTTCCTTACTTCACCTTCGCCATTCCACATGCCTTCGAGAAAGACGGTTCCA